TACAGAAATGAAGCCCAACAATCATGTTTTACAGTCCTGTGGTCTCAGCCTCAGATAGTTATTAAATCACACAAAGCTCATGTAGAAACAAACAAACAAATGAACAAAAGATTTTCTCCTTCATTTCTGTCAAACAAAGCTGTATGAAACGTTTCCAACTGTTAGTATCATGGTTGCTAAGCAACCTGGGCAGTGCGACATAGGCTAAACCGTCCCATTTCACAAGCCTCGCACTTCCGGCCTTAGCAGTCTTTAAGTACGCGGCCCTTGTGGACCGTTAAGGCTGCATACTTTAAGGCTGCAGACCCTGAATTGGGATACAGCCACAGTGTACATACATACAGCCAGGGACTTTACAGTGAGAGAAGGACACATGAGTTACTGGAGAGACAGAGAGGGCCCCTGGAACATGGAAGGCACGAAAAACGTGAAACATAGGAAGACACAAAGACAGAAACCTAAAGACTAAAAACTATAACATAAGCACAAAACCATAAAGAGGACCAAGATAACAAATCAAAGAATATTAACTTAAACCAGAAAGTACACACATTGGGTCACAGACCCAGTACCATAACATAAATGATTTAATAAAATATAATATTGCTGACCCCACAACAAAAACAGTTTTTAGATGTTTTCCATTACCATCATTTCTATCACCTCCTGAGGTTATGTTTGCATAAGAATATATTTACTGAAATCTAACCGTAAATCACAGCAAATCCTTGTGTAGACAGGGATTTTCCTCAACAGGATGGGGCTAGTAATCAATACAGTCCTCTCGTTAGTCTGTCTAGTTTCAGCAGTTGAATTTTGTCACATGTTTTATTTATTTATTCATGACAAGCTGAATCCAGATGTAAATTAAAATGCTCAAAGGTTCAAAGGTTCATCAGTTTTACAAACTGACTCAAGCAAACTGTGGCAGAGCAACTGATCATTGCCACAGAACAAGTAAACTATTTCAAGCTAAACATTACCCTCTGCTGGTCTTATCAAACCAACTGGAGGAGTGATATTAGTTTCACTTATCAATGCTTCTGATATGACTGTACTACAAAGTTGAAAAATGGTAAATATATCTTTTAATGATAAAATATTGTTGTTGCTGTTGTTGCTTAAATTTATTTATGTATTTATTGCTAAAAAAAAGTGGCATTAAAAACAACTAAATGTCAGAAGAATTTAAATGTGATATGACCACCTTGGATTGACTAATACGGAGCCCCGCAGGGGACATGGGAGAAAAAAAAATTAAGACAGACTTAAGACAGACTTCTCGCAAAACTTTTGCGAGATCTCGCAAAACTAACTCGGGATCTCGCAAACGTTTTAGCCACATTCTTCGGACGCTGGCTCGAAGCCGACCAGGAGGTTGAGGCAC